CAAGGTTTTGTCAACTTATAACAGTTCTATAAAATGCTCAAACATTTTAATGAATGCTTGCAAAATAACTTCGATACTTAAAAGAGTTTATATTTTATTACTTTCTTTTCGGTGCTGTTTTATACACATCAGATGATGACAAAACCTTGTCGAAACGTTGTACATTTGCTGTCATGTTAAACTTATATTAAAGTTTTTCTTCATTACCCATTTAAGCCGTCTCCAGCCATTATTAGTCTCAAAGTGGGTTCCTCGTCATCGAATTTAGATTGGGGGTAGTTAGTATATATAAGATGGTCACAACGTGACAAGTGAATGAGTAATTGAATGTATGCGGACAAAATATTGTTGGCCACGTGAGACGTGAATTATAGTGTTTGTTATAGAGCGACTGTTGAAATTAAGTGTATTGTAAAGTTATATTCGGAAAGAATAAACCAGTTTTATTTAAGAAAGGACTTGTGTCGCTAAAGTTTCGTCGGAGCGAATTTACGGAAAATTAACTAACGACTGGAGGCGTAACAAAGTATACAATTAAACTTGCCTCCTTAAAGTAACTTCAATCATTAAATGAATATAAATATGAAAAATCACTGTATATTGGTAATAAATGATTATAGTTTAAATTTAATTTAAGGTGTGATTTCAGCATTGAAAATAATATAATGCGTGTCACGTAACTAAAGTTTAGGTCTTATAATGTAAAATAGTATGTTTTTTTTATAAAATGCGGAATATTTATTTGGCGGTGCTGTTGTTCATGATAAAATGCACAAGAGCTTGTAGTTTTATATAGAGAGGTGTGAGGAACATGGCTCCGGAGGTGATGGTTTTAAGAGATCAAAATATCAAATGGTTTGAGGTTTTGGGGAAAATTGGGGTCACAGCTGCAGCTCACCCATTTGACTATGTCAAAATATTAATTCAGGTCAGATACGTTTTATAATCTTAAACTTAAAGTTTTATATAGCAGTCGGTGAATACTGGTCTGTGGCAACTGACTAGTAGTAGCACTTATGGTTTGAATTTAGTTTGAAATTATGGCAACGATAAAGCTGTAAACAGCAGTCTAATACTACTAATATTATTAGTATTACTAGTACTCGATTGCCACTGACTGAATCTGACAATACTAGTTATAATATTTGGAAAATACAAGTGGTAAGATTTAGACTCGTCAGAATATGGAGTACTAGAGTAAGAGTGTACGATGGTCTGACACAGTAGACATGAAAAGCATACACTTTAAAAGTTTAATTTTGAGGAATTTCGAATAAATATTATTAATTCAACAACTTATCTTTTAGATTGAGCTCAATAAAATTGAGAAAAATATATAAGGTAAAATAACGATGAAATGCATTTGTGAAACAAGAATTGAGTATCTACTTTCTATTTAAGTTTTACTGTGGTTAATTGTAATGCACTTGAATATATATACATACATACATATATATATACACACACACACACACACATGTAGAAACAATTGCAAAGTTTCTGATATTCATGGTATTTATGATGTGAAGCAGAAGTACATAATTAAATAATAATTATGCATTTTGCTAGAAATTACTTGCAAACACAGAGCAAGTAAAAGTTTGTTTCGGTGATACTTTAGTAGTTGAAGTTGACAAGATTTCATAGTGGGTATATCATTATATGTAAGTTGGTTCAGTATAAAATTATGCCAATACACACAACTTGAACAAAGAAGCATTATCAGCTAAAAATGCTATGGACAGTTGCTAGCTTACAGTTTTGGGACAATTCTAATTAAATCAACATATTGATACTTTCTAATGGAAAGTAGGCCAAGAGATATTATTACAAAAAAACGGAAACATTGTTCGTTTAACATAAAAAAGTATAATGAGTAACAGTAACAAACAAATAGATAAATAAAACAGAGGTATCTAGCACTTTAAATCATCAATGAATTAAAAACTGCTAAAATGAGCCTTAGGAAAAATAATAAGGATCACAACATTTCACTCTGTTAATACATCATCATCAGCACAATAAATACACTGAGGTAGGGTGGCCATATCAAGTTGAAATGTTGTGGTATTTTATGTTTTTTTTTCTAAACAATGTTTTATGTTTTCAATTCTGTTAAAAACTAATAAATGCAAACCATACTAAAACAATAGATCCCATACCATTAGATTGAAAATATTCTTTTTGAACTGCAAGTGACTAACTTTTATTATGACCTGCAAAGTCAGGTTATGACTTTTAAACTTAAAATGTCATTAGAACATTTGTAATGTGTCATTAAAGTTAAACGTGTTAATTTATAGATTAGACAGCAGTTACAATATTATATATATAATTAGTTTCATGTTTGTAGTAGGTAATTATAGCATTCATATTTGAACATCTTTATTAAAAATAATAAAGAAATTTATTTATTTTATTCATTCATGATGTCAGAAAAACGCATAGGTTCAAGAAGTCTTAACATAAAATGATAAAGGGTTATAGGGTTTTTATTGTTTTATTTTATTCAAAATTTTTGCATATTGCACTATATAATATGTAACCTAAAATAAAAAAGGCACTTGTTATTTGCATACATTTTTACTCTTTAAGTGCATAATTTTATTCATATTCCTGTAAAATTAAATGCTTTTACTACAACTACTATAAGGGCCATGAATTGTGAGAACTGACCCATTGTTTTTCGGAGATGTGACTAAACTGTTGCAGAACAGCAGGCCAGAATTAAGTTAATTTATTAGGTGAACATTTTTGTTAAATATTTATGGATATCTTATTATTTGTTTATGGACACGTTTTATTTTTATTTGGTATTTTTTAAATTATTATAGGGAGAAAAAGTGATGATAATACTTTAAAGACCTATGGAAACCTTAAATAAAAATATTACTAAGATTTTCAGCAAATGAATGTAAATATAGGTAGTTTATTGATAAGGAAGCTCTGTCTCCCGAGATATGGTAATCAGGTGTATAAGGGAAGTTTGGGTACAGTGGGTATTTTAGGTGGTTTAACAAACAAATTGGTTAAGAATTAGGAAGTTATTTTTCCAAAGAAATACATAGGGTAGCAGTTTTGAAGGAGAATGCTTTGTATGGAAGTAATTTCTTTGTGAAGGGCTAAATAGGATGAGGTAAGTTTGTAGGCTGTATTTAGTAGACAGAGAATAAGAATGTGTTTGAAAGAGAAGGGTATGAAACTGTCAAACTGAGTGAAATAACTAGTAAATGTGTTTTTACGATAGATAGAAGTAGAAAAGCCATTAGCATCATGATTAACATCCACAAAGGAAATAAGAGGTGTTTGTCCCAATTTCATGAGTGAAGTATATAGAACGGTGTTGTGAATTAAGATAGTCAAAGTAGTTTATGTATTTTTATACATAATTGTATGTTCAGTATTTTTATTACTAAATATTTAGTACTTATATCACTAAACAATGTACTTAGATATACATGGTACAGGAATATCATAATTACAAAGCCTTATTTGTTATTGAAGAAAGTTACATCAGTGAAAGATGCAACAGTACTATATATATATATACATATATATATATATACACACATGATGTAATAATTGTTTCTATAAAATACCATATTTAATTATTGCCTGAAGTACAAAAAGTAAAAACAGGTAAATTTAAAAAATTGGTTGACTTGTGATTTGATAAACATGATATTAGTCATGATGCATGCTTTATGAGTTGCTAATGCCATATCTAGTGTTTAGTAATACATTGTATAACTTTGTTTTCAAACGTTTTTGTTCACAGACTACTTGAATTTTATTTTCTTATCTTTGTGGGCCACAGTGTAATATATATACTATGTTACCATATCTTTTCTGTAATTGTGCAAACTTCCCATGAATCATCTAAAGGAGGTCAGCAGACCACAGATTAAGAACTGCTGGTATAAGGGATGGTTTCATGAACAGTATATATTTTGTATATTGTTCATGATACAGGCTGATGTTTCTGTGATTGCTTATTTGTTCAATGGTACCTGCTTGGTTTTATAAGTTTTTAGAAATGTTTGAGGCCAGATTTGCATACATGTATATAAATGATGAAAAACTGAAAGATGGATCATCATTGTTGATTTATTAGTGCTCAAAAAATCTAGCATGTAGATTCTTCTTCACTTGACATCATTCCCATCTAGATTTGGGGTCAGCTCCTCTGGTATTTTGTATTAACCAAGAATATTTACACTCAGGTGGCTGGCCGCTACAACAACCCTAAAGGGCAGGCATGTTAGGTGATGGAGAATCAAACCCACAACCTATATGTTGCTCAACTTGTATGCTACACTGCAAGGTTTTGTCATGATGCACATTTGTCAGGTAGAGTATAATTGGATGTGGTAGCTGGTGAGGCTCCAGAAGTTTTAATATATTAGGATGTCAAGAAATCAATGTCGTGTTTTGGAACATTTTCATTACCCCCCCCCCCCAAAGTACCTCACGTGTAATAATTAAACATCACGTTAGTGTAGCCTATATAATGTGTAAAGTTTAGTATACTCTAATCCCTTATAGTGATGGCACACGATGAGACACACATTTGGCATGTAATGCTCTTTGAATACATGAAGGGAAACAACACCTCTATAGCCACAAAGAATATCAAAGAAGTTTATGGAAATGTTTTTAACATTCATAGGTGTCAACGATGGTTCAGCAGATTTCGTTCAGGTGACTTTAGATTTAAAAACTGTGATGGTAGGGGCTGACATGTTGGAATTAATATTGATAGTCTGAATACGCTTGTTGAGTCTAACCCACGGCAACACACTCATGAAATGTCCTTAAAGAAGGTGTTTAAGTGGCTCACAAATTCTCCGATGATCTTCTTTTCCAACGTGTGAACATTGCTTAGTCTCTTCTGGCGCGTAATGCACATGCACCAATTTTGGACAGAATGAAAAATGGATTCTCTGTGTGAATATTAAATGCCAAAAACAATGACTCAGTCCTAGACAAAAAACACTTCCGACCCCAAAACCTGGACTCCATCTGCAGAAAGTGATGTTTTGCATTTGGTGGGACATCAAAGGAGTAATTCATTTCAAACTCCTCAATCCACAGTGAACTCTCAATGCACAGATCTATAGTCAGCAACTGGAATGTTTAAATCAAGCCCTTCATCAGAAATGCCTTTCACTAGTCAATTGGAAAGGTGGTGTTCTTCTCCACAACAATGCACATCCACATGTGGCATCTTTGATGCAACACAAGATTATGGAGTTGGGTTGGGAAGTTCTCCCCCACACGCCATATTCTCTAGATATGACACCATCAGATTACCATCTTTTTCGTTTGCTGCAACACCATCTTAATGGGAAAATGTATGCAAATGTGAAAGGTGTTAAAGAGGACATCAACATGTTTTTTTGCTTCAAAGCAAAGTGATTTCTTTAATCAGGGCTTTAACAACCTTATTGTAAGATGGAAAAGCATCATCAAAAAAGAATGGAGACTATTTCATTTAATAAATATTTTGTTTTGATATATAAGTTGTTTGCGGTTTTTTCATGTAAAAAAATAACATTAATTTCTTGATGACCTAATGATTTACTCATCCTCTGTAATGTGGTTTCTTTTGATGCTTGAGGCTCTATGCTTTATCCATGCAGAATCTACAAATGTTATGGAACTTCATTACTACCAAATACATATACAAATCTATTTGAAATAGAAAGTTAATTTGTTTACTTGTGAAATAGGAAATAAGATGAGTTAAATATATGTCATACTTATAAAATAGCAGGAAGTAGTATGGTAAGACAGTTTGCTAGATGGGACAAACAAGTTTGTTTTTACTCTGCATGTTAGTTGATTTAAGAAATGCTGTGCCATAAGAAAAGCTAACCAAGATTGAGGAGTTAATAGAAATTCTCAGGCAGCCTTTTAAGGAATGTTTTTAGGATTACAGTGGATTAGAAAATTTGTAAAACAGCACAATATGGAAATAAACATGTTTTTTTCAGAACTTAATTTGCTGCTTAACTTTTGTGGGATAGGTTTCCAGAGTTCAGGTAATGGTTCATTTGTCTTTGAATGCACACAGTAAAGAAAATTGTATCTCTTGTGTCTTAGGATACACTGAATGTGTTTACTGGGGAGAGTTCAGTAATTTGTGCAGAAGTATCAAGGAGGTGTTCAGATTTTGAGTTAAATGTGATCCATGTGGGTTTTAAACTAGATGAAGTTTATAGATTTTGTAACCTTTGTACAAAAACATAAACTACATATATAATATGAAATTAATTATGTTAAATGCAATGAATTGTGTATTGTCAATGGTAAGGATATACTGTCCAATCAGTAGTTACTGGAAGATTGAATTATATATATATTGAATACTTCTGAAGATTTTTATACTACACCTGAAGTCTGAGGATAGGGTGTAGAGGATTGTTTTAATAATTTCTGTATTGAAGAGCATTGTAGAATTTATTCAGTTTTAGACATAGGGTTTAATTTTGAGATATATAAACATAAACTTATTACTTTAGGTTTTTCGTGGGGTTTAAAGAGAATGCTATAGCAGCAATTGATACACAAAATAATTTTGCATAGAAGATGTAAAAATGTGCATAGCACTGTAGCAGCACATGGCTGACATGGTATATTAGATACATGCAATCCAGAAAAAAATACAGTGTCAAATTACTTGAATCTTAAGAAAATGTTCAAAAGACAATCTTTTTTAAAAAATGTTAATACTGTTCATGACAAATGACAGCTAACTTTAGTGTATTCAAGTTTTTAGTTAAAACACTATCAGGTGATTGATCTTTACTCTAGACAACCTGAACATGATTATGGTAGGGTTAACTACACCAGATATTCACTGCTCTTTATTTAATACTTTGGACCCTTATTTTCTTTCAGGTTTCTGAACAGGAATTTTTGAATGTTGGGAAATATTTATGGTCAACACCAAACATTTGAAGCCTTACCAGGGAGGCCCATAGATACTACCCCTGGGAAATTTTCATGTGTTTGAAAGCAAAATAGTGTATTTTAGCATTGTGGGAGGAAAAAAATTGACAGCTTGTCACTAATATATATACATACATGCCATTTTTATGTAAGTATATTAATCAGTAAATCTAAACATACATATCTCAGATCACACTTATTATTCTTCAAATCAGTTGATATTTTTCATAAGTTTATCTTGACTTCAAAGTAGGGAATAAGAATATAAATTTAATGTAATGTGTCACAGGCATAACATGTGTTACAGTACAAGTCAATTCATCTGCATACATGCAACAGTGAAATTCAATGCTGTTCAGAAGGTTAAAGGTAACAAACTTTCCATCCATCTGATTGGCTGTTCATAACCACATATTCACACAAAATAGTTGCTGAACACATGTATTGATCCAGTCATTCCTGGAAATCAAAGCTCAAGAAACTAACAAACATCAGCCCAGACAACAAGACATAAGAACTGTGATATATACCTTACACAGTCAAAATGTGTGCAAAATCAATATTTTTTGTAACTTATTATTTACAAACTAGCTACATTTAACAACTTTTATTGATGTTTGATTGCTGGGTGCATGCATAGGGAGTATTGGGTAAACATGTCCACCACCAGCTGTCATAGGTAGAACCCTGCTTTCATTGCTTCCCTTAGCTTGTATGTCAGATACTTTGCTTTGCTTTTTTGCCACTGATTGGCTCATTCAGCTCACTTGGTTAGAACTTTGAGTATTTACATCTAGATATTGATTTTAAGGCACCTGTTGTTGGTTGGAAAGCCTTGATTTTAATATTTTGAATATTTTTTTTAGATTTATAGATAAAAGGGTTTGTTAGATCTGTAAGTAATGTAGTTTTATTTTTCCTTCTTAGATTGGTCATGAACCTCTTCCTCCTTATCCTTCACACACACTATTTGGAAAACGTGCACTTGCTTTACCAGGAGCTATAAGATATAGTAAGTTGTAGTTATTTTTTTAAAGTAATCTGATTCATAGATAAAACTATGAATGTTACTTTATCATTTTGTTTTCTTGTTTTTAACCAATTTCTTTTGCAGAAAAAAATGTACAGTTTGCATATGTGCAGAATATAAGGAGCAGGAGCTTGTATTTTTAATGGGAATTTGATTATGTACATCTTTTTTTATCTATTCATATTTTAATGTTCTTTTGAGCTTAATCTTTACATGCATGCAGGTTTGCATCAGTCATCATTTGTGTGTCTGCTTGTTACAGTCATAATTAAAATGATAATTAGATTTTATTGTTTTTTTAGATGAATTTATTGTATGTTTATTGTTTTTTTCACACAATGCTAATACTGTTTGCTTCTCTAACCCATTGACTGCAGATTCACCATATAAAGTACGGTCAAAGTCAAGCAGTTGAATGCAAGTGTGCCATATAAGGTATATGGCTTGCAAAAATTCTTCCTCAGTTTAGAGCAGCCACAGTTAATGAGTTAAAAACTGTATTTAGTAATAAGCACACGAAAGTCAATATCTTTTAATAATGACTCATCAAGAGATTAGAGATTCAAAACTACAAATGATTGTTCTTAGTTTTGCACTTCAGTGATGTTCTATAACATACTATACATGTACATAATGCATATGATTAGCTGTTGCCCTGTTCTGTAATAAACAGATACATATCTTTATATAGTAATAAGAATTTCAGACTGTGATACTTGTTTCTCCACAGAACAATTAGCTAGCACTTTGGCACTACTGATGAAAAGAATTTGTGCATGTGCCAAACCACTGAAAGAGCTGTCACTCCTCCATGTAATAATTTGTATTGCACTATTCTGTATTGCAAGCAAAACTAGACTATACTTCTTCATCAACAGGACAACACAACCTTTTTGCATAGTACTCCCCTTGAGCAGATGTGTTAATTCCTTAAGCCTTTTCTTACACTGCACTGCACTTAAATTGTAAACTGAAAGAAAATTCAGCCAAAGTTTCTAAGAAGATTGATTATATGTCCTACGTTCTTCATCTCAGACCCATGACTGATGGTCTTCTGCTTCTGTAGCTTCTGCTGAGCCTGCCATATCTTTGGACAATTTTGACTAGCTCTTCCCACTTGCCTTTGCTTGTGGTTCTTCTATATGAGACAAGGATCAGGTAACTTCACCTTCATCCTTTCCTACTCTGATAACTCAGATATGTGACATTCTTTCTTCTACTTCAGTTCTTTCAGCTGATTCATGGGTGAGGTTATTGCATGTGGCTCAAATCTTTGACTTTTTGTACCCCCATTTGATATTTGTGCTTATGCAGATTATTTTTATCTCGGTTTCATCTTGGCTCTCAGTTTTCATGTGATCCCTGACCTTGAGACTCCTGCTCTGTTGCTTATTGTTGAGACTCTCTTTTCTTAGAGCTCCAGTCTGTTGAGAGAATCTGGTTAGGTTGAGACAATTAATCTGCCACCAAATTCATCACCCCCAGAACATGGCAAGCTAATAGAATGATATGATAGGAGTGGGCCCAATATAGAAGATCTAAGATCTAAAAACCAAGTGGCCTGGACCGAGAATTGTTGAAGTGAAGCAGGACAATTTTGCCCCTCAATAAGTCTAGACTTGGAGACATCATCATTTGAACAACAAGAAGGTCTAAAACATTGATGTGGAGGGAAGCCTCATCATCTGTCCATAAGCCCTGGAATTCTTGACCATTGAGATATGCACCTCATCAATGAAGCGAGGCTTCCATAAAATGATGGATCTCTAGATGAGGTGGCAGCAGGGGAACACTGATCTTAGTATCGTTTCGATTGAACCGCCATTCGAGATCAAAGGTGTTGATCCAGAAAAGAAGACTGGGTGACCAGTGGCTCACTGTTCATGAACCACTGATTGCACAGAGATCACTGCAGGGATCTCATGGATTTGTCCAAAGGAAAGAGGGATTCGAGTGATGCCCACATCCCTAAAAGAGAAAGAACCATCTGTGCAGTAGGAGAAGGAGATACAAATAAGAGTCAGACTGCCTGTTCCATAGAGTTGAGCTGGATGGGTGTTAGCTGAACCCAACTGATATATGTGATGAAAAAAAAACACCCAGATGGATGATATATTGTGTTGGAGAGAGATGTCTTGGCTGTGCTAAGAAATTCCACCTTAGTTGCTTTGAAAATCAGTATCTGGGTGTGATGTCCTGCCAATTGATGAGATTTATGCCTGCAGTAGCCAGTCATCCATGTACTGGTGTGTGCATGGGCTCAGGAAATTAAAGCAACAAGAAACGGTTTGTACAATTTGGCAGAACACATATTGAGCCGATGCTAGCTCAAAGGGCAGAACCCTGAAAAGCAGCACCTGACCTTTTTATTTTTAGAAATCAAAGAAGAAGAAGAAAAAAAAGATACAAAAACCCATTGAGTAGCCAGTATTGCCTTACAGGGAATACTTTTATTTCCTAAAAATTTGCATCAAGTAGGGGATAACAAATCGTGTTAAACCCATCTGCTTGTATTCAGTGCTCACTGTTCAGATAAAGTTTTCTTTAAGAATCTTTCAGCAATATATATATTTTTCATTACCTTCCTAGCCATATGTGAAACAAAAATAGAAAAAGTGGCTAATCAACCATTCAACAAGACAGTTCCTGTTGTCCATGTTAGTGGTTACCCAATGCACATCTCTCATTGAAAAATATCTTATACAAATAAGATGATTCCAGTTTGTTCTATGCATGCATTTCTGGTGTTCCTATGCACACTCCTTCCCAATCTCTTTTAGTGGAATGGTAGAATCCTTGATTCTCCAGTACCAAACTTGTGAGGGGATCGATAAAGTCACCCTTTGGGTTTGTGTAATCCTTTTGGTATGAGACTGAGTGGACACAACTCGCAGGTAAAAGTAAGGTAGGGGTTACAACCTGGAAGAATAGTACAGGTTTCCCAACACTAAAAAACATACCATTCCTGAACCTGTATATCATAGTAAGTACTTCTCGCATTGTGTATGGCTTGACATTTGCACACTTATCTTCCATTGTCTGACTACCCTTTGGGATATATAGGACGGTTGAGCAGCCTTCATGTTCTGCCAATTTTGTGATACTTTAGCAAAAAACAGGAAGTTCTTTTGATAGAAACTTTCTGAACAACCACTTATGCTAAACAAAGAGTATTCCCTACATTAGATGTGTACTCTCTATCACTAAGTGCTGCTCTCACAAGATTCTTTCCAGATTTGTTGTCCACTGTAGTGGGCTGCCCTTCTGGACTGGGATGTTAAGGTTGTTCTTCACTGCTTCACTTTGTCTCTGTTCGAACAACCTTCCACGTGCTCCTTGCTTCACATTTCCCTTAAGACTTATTTCCTTCTCTTCTTAGCCTGTGGATGTTTGAGGTCTGATTTATTTGCTGTCGATGTTTCATGTACTCATTATCGTACTACTTATATTCCCCTTTATCCGGATCACTCTTTCCTCCCAAAACTTTCAGCAGCTAGGGAAGGTAACTCTTATTTTTTGCCGATTTCCCTTCCTTCCATTTCCCACCTTTATCCTAGGCCTGATCTGGATAGACTTCTATGTCCCATACATGCTCTTCACTGTTATATTGCCTGCATGGCTTCCTTCCGTGATGCCCATTCCTGCCTCTTTATTCCTTGGCAGCCATCCTATGTTCATCTTTCTCATTCCACTCTCACCATTTGGGTTGGCTTTTGATTCGATTGGCTTATTATTATTTATCATCTTCTTCCTGTACTTTATTACAGGTGTTTTCTGATCAAGTTCAACACCTTACAATTTATCTGACGTCTCATCTTCGTTGTCCATCGGAAGAAATTCTTCAATTGGACATGTGGGCTACACCAAATACACTCATCTCTCACTAGTTGCATAGAATCGAGGCTTTGTCCTCTTCAGGCTATTGTCTTCTGCCTATAGCCATTCTTCAGACTTTAGTGAGACTTTGACTGAGTAAGTTAAGTCTTATTATTCATTATTTTATTTTCCGGGGCCTTATTTCACTTTTTATTATTATTATTATTACTCATTGTCATGATCCAACTCTGTGGCGAGTGGTACCTGACCAGGTATTTTTTAAACTGTTTAAATCTGCACTGTCAAGCCATGTGAACTTGCATATTATAATTTCATAGGCCATGCAACACGCACTGTAGAGATGGGGTGTTCCACAAGATCGCATGTAGGTTTATCCTCCTGATAAAATTGCTTCATAAGTTTACCTGTTCCGGACTGTACCCACCCATGGAGTACATGGGTAAAGCAGAAGGGAATAGCTGCTTATCTCTGCATGCCTTGTATTGAATAAATTGGTATGGCCACCCATGGCACTGTCTCAGATGTTATCATTCCTCCAGACTCTCCACAACGTTTTATCCCTCTTTTCTTCCAGTAGAGTTTGAGAGTCCTTACCACTTTCCAGTTCCAAGCCTCTGGGGTGGTGGACCATGGAGGCATCCTCCTGAATGGATTAATGAAATACCAAAATAATATAGAAATGATTATAAAATTATTCAGTTGAGAGTAGGGTGATGGTGTTCTACTGGTGTAGATGACATGATATCCTCCAATAAAAACAAATGGGAGTGAGATGTCAAAATTGCAGTTCACCCCTTCGATTGGGATCCCTCATCCTACCCCCACATGGATGTCAGTTCCCAGTGGCTGGGTTTTGGATTTAGAGTAGAACCAATCAACACTAGTCCTCACAAGTCCTCTAGGTATTTATTAATTTACTGTATTGGAAGTTATAATTTTCCTATACTGAAAATGTATTTCCAATAGGTATTTACCTCCTTCCACTCTTCCTCCTCACTGAAAACCGGTGCTTCCATTTTCTGCCAAAACTTGAAGTGATGGTTAGGTAGAATTGAATAGTGGGAGTCACATGCATAATGAGAGTATGTTGCACTCTTTATGGTGGAGAAGAAAAGCTTGTGGCATGTGTAAACAAATTTTCTGCATATAGAGAGCAGCACTAAACAAGAATACTTATATGAATAGGGGTAAGTACCTATCAGAAATATGTTTTCACTATAGGTAAATTATAATTTCGGTAAAAGCAAATGGCCCCTAAATGATGCTGGTGGCAAGATTTTTGTTGAAAACTATGAGATAGTTGGGCTTTTAAATGATCTCTTCAATTTTTGTAAGATAATATTCCTGACACTGAGCATTTTATAGGAAATTTTGGAATTGATCTGAGTGATTTTAGGAAATTAGTAAAGTATGTTAATAAACTTTTGGATATTCTTAGTTGTAAAGAGGATGGTGAAGTACTACAGAATGACTTGGATCAATTGATAAGTTGGACAAATATTTGGCAAAGTAAAGCATTTGGATTATAAGTTGGATCACAATTTTAATATAGTTAGAAATCCACTAAATAGTATGACTGAAGAAAAGGATTTTGGTATATTGGTGAACATGTAACTTAAGTCATTGAGACAGTGCTCCATCACTAGTAGTAAACCTAACACAATTTTAAGGTGTATTTGTAAACATAATGAATAAATGATTATGAGTCAAAACAGGTAATTATCTCTATACAAGTCACTAGTCAGGCCTCACTTGGAATGTTGTGTATAGTTTTAGTTTATGCTTATTTAACAAAGGTTATTTAGTTATTGGAAAAGATTCAGAGGATAACTACTAGAATGATTCAGGGTTGAAAGGGTTATCTCATAGGGGTAGGTTAAGATTTCTTAGCTTATACACTGGATGTCACATATTATAATCACTTTGGGACACAGTTGTGTTGATAACAATAACTGAATGATAACGTTAACCGATGAAATAAAAATTCAGCAGTAACAGTAATGTTTATTGATATAGGGTAGCAAACATAAAAGTTTGAAAGCTGGATTTTTATGTTTATTGACATATTTAAAAACAATTAAAGAAAGGAAAAACAATTAAAATAAGAATTAGAAAAATTCATTTAAAGTTGACTGTTTCCAATTTATTTAGAGCAATTCATTAATAAAACTTTATTATTCATAATTAATAAACTCGCCTGATCTGTGCTGTATGCCGCTCTCTGCTGCATCATTGGTCTGTTTACATGAGCATCTTGTTCACGAACATTAGTAAACCAAAGTTTTAATGATGATTCAACCTGGTCATCTTTTCCACTGTGCTTTCTCTTACAGTTTATATTTTCATTCTGTTTTGCTCCTCTCTCAATGTCAACTTGATTGTTTAAAATTTTACACAAAAGAGGATGGGGAATTTTTAATTGCACTGCTGCATTACGCTGCCCCATTTTCGGTAACTTATCATAGCGTTCTAAAATGGCAACCTTTTCTTTAATGGTTAGATCTTTACATTTCTTATGCTCTTCTATTATTAAAGAGGGTTAACAAAAATTGAAAATTGTGGGAGCACTGTCTTTCACAAAGGAACGAAAACAACTATACTGTAATTATGGAAAGGAAATGCAAGAGCATAGGGAATTTTAATAACAACTTAGCCACGCCCTATTTTATGGTTAACCTTCTTCAGGTTGCTTGACTTTGAGATGGTTAAGCTGCTTAAAAGTGATAAAAAATGAAGCACTGATTACAATAAATGATGTTTTTCCTATGTATTTTTATACGTTTGGTCAGGGCCTAGTAATTCTGATGATAACATTATCTGTGATCACAATTAGTGGCATCTAGTGTATTTAGTTGAGAAAACTAGGCTGAAGGTGATCTTATTGAAATGTACCAAATTATGTGGGGCATTAATAGGATAAAGGCCTCTGATATGCTTGTACTGTATTCTACTATTCTGAAGACTATGAGATGAGTTGATAAAGTTTAAATTTGGAAAAGACGAGCTACTCTATAGTTAAGCTGAGTGAATGGTTTATGGAATTTGTTGCTATTAGCAGTTGAACTATACAAAAGTTTTAAGAGGGGAATTGATGAGTTACTGAAAAATAAAGAATTTTATTGGTTTAAGTTTTTGTTTTTTTCAAGATTGGTCTTTCAAGGACAGCCTTGAAAAACCAGATAATCTCTTGTTGTACACATGCCTGCTCCTTTACTTTTACACCTTACATTTATTTAACAATTTCAGAACAAAAAAAATCAGTATTTTCAGAGTTTTTACAAAACTATTATAGTTGAAAGTATCATCAGTGATCTTAATTAATCATGATGCAAAAACAACTGTGAACTCAATAAAAAAAATTGGTGTAGACAATTTTAGCATTGGAAATAGTTTTAATAAATTCTTAAACTCCATAATCAGTATTGAAGTTGTAATTTTTTTATTAACTAATATTGCAAAATTACAAATATATTTTAATTTTGATTAGTAGTATATATTTTTAAAATGGGAATATTACCTGTTTCTTGTAATGTTTATGTTTATCATGTTTTTTATAGTAAAATATGTGTCCAAAGTGGATGGAGTATGGGGACTTTATCGTGGGTTAGGACCTAGAATATGTGGAAATTTGGTCAATGGCATTATTTATACCACAATATCTCAGGTAAAATTAATTGCAGGATGCATTTTTTGTTTTTGATTTGTGTGTATGGTATTCAAAGCAGTATATATGTGTACAGATTATATGTTAATTCATTTGTCAGAAAAACCAACAGCTTGTAAAAATGATGAAGTCTCTCGTGCTTGGATTATAGGGATTTAATAGATATTTTATGTTGAATACGTAACAAAAATTACTTTATGACATAGATATCTAGTAAAGTGGTTATTCCAGAATAGTAATTAGAACATAATTTGTCCAGGTTTCACTCTAAATATGATATGCAAAATGGCTTTTTTTTGTTAATTTGCCATTTTGTATTAATAAATAGAGCACACCAACCCTTAGTATTAGTAAAATAAAATTATATCTTTCTTTTTTATCTGGAGAACCATTGCAAGTTAATAATAAAGACTACTGTATTTGAAATATACATGTACAAATACCTAAATAACTGCGTAGATTTATTTTTGTATTATATTTCTCTATAAATAGAATATAGTTCCTAGAATTTATGTCAGATGTCAGAAGCACAGTGATCATAAGGAATTTGGGTTAACAGATATTCATCAGAAGTCTCAAGTATCTGCAAAATGGAGATTTGGGACTGTTAAGCAAAGAATAAATTGGATACATACAGTATAGGAAAACAGAAAACACAAGTGTAATTTGAAACAAAATAAACTGTTTTATTGCCCAAAGTGGTCAGACTCTTTCTCATTGTTGTCTGGCTACAGGGGATAACAAGAGGAAGGTCTAGAACAGTAGCACAAAATTTATTTATGGTACCCCTACTTCTAAACATGCATTTTGTTGCACCACCTCCCTCATTGCACCTCATGTAATCTATTTCAATATATACTGTGCATGTCATTTTCCCATGCTAATTATTGCTACTATAATACTTAATACTGTAATGTTTGTACAGTAGTTTTTGAAATGTGTTTTTAAATTTTTTATCTTAAAATATAATTTATATGCTTCTATAGTCATAGTTGTGTTCACCTCACAGTTTGTGCACTACAAGTCTAGAGCCTAACAGTCCAAAATCAAGACAACAAGAGATCAAACTATGGAAATACCTGGCTTTAAAAAAATACTCTAATGAAATAAAGAAAGTCAGATATCCCACAAGTCCACATGTTTCATGGTTCTGTCAGTGATCTGTGTGCAGTCTTAAGACAAGCCATGTGTACACATTTCTGTATTGGCTTTTCAATAGGCTACTTTCCAAGAAACACATGTACATTAGCTTGAGACTTAAGAACAAAAGTTGCAGTTTGTAGCCTTTACCTGTGTAAAAGGATTAGCATGCATTTATGACTTTGAGACATATGTTTAACACAGTTGTGATTAACTACATGCAGAAGCTGCATGAAAATATAGAAAAATATTGTATGAATATATCTGAAAATAAATATATTCTATGCTTGTTATGGAATGATGAAATTCTTGACTGTTTCAGTCATTACAGTCACCAACCTAGAAAAGCCAGGATTTAGAGAATTTGAAAAAAATTATCCCAAATTCTGGAAAAGCCAAGGAATATTTTAATCTCAGAACTTGCTGTTTGGCTATGCTAGTTATTGGTTTATTCTAATATAAAATAGGTCAATTGCTATTATTTTATTTTGTGATAACTATCCAATGCAACCATGATTATATTTGATAAATAAAAGAGATTAAATATAATTTTACATGAAAAAACTGATAAGTTAAAAGATACTGTGTGACCAGAACTTGCACCCAGGACTTCTGGCTAAAATGGTCAATGCTCTAAGAATGAGATATCCAAGAGTACAAGCTGTCTTCTTCTCTGTTCACATATGAGGACTCTAACTATGAGCATGATCATTGTACTACATTATGATAGTCACTCCCAAATCAATTATACAAAGTCTATCACACTTGCATTTTAATTTTACATTCTGTTAAGATACAATGAAAAGACTATTTGATATTAATTTTTATGAATAAAAATGTAACAGTTTACTTGTACCATCAAGTTGTAATATTCTTGTTTAAAGATCTATTTCTATGTCACTGTTATCTCATATAAGTATGTTTGGAAATTTTTATTACCATTAATTAAATAGAATTATAATGAATTTGAATATTTCTAAGTATTAATTTTGTATAAGTAAAAACACACTAAATATCATGTGTAAAAAAAACTAAGTTAAATTTATTTCATATCTATATTTAGCAAAGTACACATACATAATTTTTTTGTTTATTTCTACTGATGATTATTTTTAGAAGATCTTAGAACTGTTATGTGAATTTAAGTTACAATTTACCAATTGAAGAAATTCACTTATGCATTTTTCCTATTGATATGCTTGCTTGAATTCTATACTATCAATTTGTGTGACTTAATTTAGTAGTTGTCCATTGTAGATATATAAAGAGATAAAAAAAGATTATATCTTTCGAAGATACTTAAGCCTTTTGGGTCATTTTCTCTTTCGGTACAAAACTTACTTGAATTGTATACTATCGATTTGTGTGACTTAGTTAGGTAGTTTTCCACTGTGTGTATATATATATATATATATAAATGAAAATTATATCATTCAGAGTTACTCAAGCAAAAACTATCATAGTTGGAGGAAGTGAGATGTATGATAAAATTACTGATTTACACTTTGTATGTAACACTAGGATCTTTTGCCATATCTTATTTGATATTTATATCAGGTATGAATAATGGTCATACTACTTTATCATAGAGATTACCTGAATTCACTACTGTGAATTCTTCAGATGAAGCTGAGGAAGAACTGACTGAGGAGCAGAAAATCCTTTTACATGTTCGCCACACTATTAATGAAATGGTGGCAAGATGTGTAGCAATTGTCATTAGTCAACCATTTCAAGGTAAAAAATTAAGATGTTTGTTTGTTTTTGTCAGTTTAACATAACATACTTTAAGGATCAACCTAATACATTTGCTCTCAACTTGATTTATTATGCGTATACACATTAATGCTGTAAATCACATACTGATAAAATATGCAGGTAAGGTATATTTTCATGGCTTGTGAATGCATAAATTTTATTATTATGTAACACAATTACTTTGGTCATCAATCACAATAAGAACTGTTGTAACATTCCCTTTTTTAACACTTTCATTTAAAATATTTTGTTGAAGGAGTAGAATAAAGGGATGAAACATAAAATATTTGGAATGGAAAGGGTAGGCTAGTCTTGATTTGTTTTCCATAGCACCCAATGCACAACTTTCTTGTAACTTTTTAGTTGAGAAATGAAGACATTGACCTATCTAATGAAATATTAAAAAATTTGTTTTTTGGGTGTTCATTTCTAAGGTCAGAAGTAAAAATTTGATGAGGGCAAACTTTACTGATTTGTTTTCCAAATCAAAATATACATACAGTTTTTGGAATTCTCGTACAATACTTAATCAAATAACACCTAACATAAGTTTTTAGCCCCAAACGTTTTTGAAAATAATTTGATTAAACGTTAGATTTCATCCATCGACCAGTTTTAACACTATAATATATGAGTCTTTAACTTACTCAATTAAGAGTAATTTGGATGTGGTAATGTTTTTATTCCAACATTTTGTGGATGATTTTTTATGTCATTTTTTATTTTACTGTAATTGTGTATTGTTATTTTGCTATCTCATTATTTTCAAAGTTTACTGTATTAAAAATAAATGATACTATTAAAGTGGCTAAAGAAATCCAATGCAAACATTTGATGCATAGTTAATCTTCAAACACTTGGTTAACACCTTTTGTAAAGCAGTCATGAAAACAAAGTCTCAGTCAACAGTGTTTATCCTTTGTGAATGGAAATTGTTACCCAAAATAATAAAAAAAAAAGCTTCATATTACTAACTATGCCATTATCCACAATCTTCAGGTGTTCTAAATGATCCACTAGGGCAGTGCTTCCCAAAGTGGGAGCTGTGGCTCCCGTGGGGGCCTTGTAGCTTTTTCTGGGGAGCTGCCAAAAAATGGGCCAAAAACAAAGATGCTGAATTAATTTTCATTCTAAATAAACAATAAGCCAATAAAAATTATCTTCAATTAATTAAATGATACAGTATGTCGAAAGGAAATGCTATTGTTTTTAGTATGACACTGTTTTTCAATCACAATGCTAAAGTAGTGGGGAGAGGGTGGCATTTCAAAATCACATTTTAAGGCCTTTTTATAAATTGGAAGAGCCTCAAACATTTTTATTCACATCAGTGGAGCCTCAGACTAAAAGAGTTTGGGAATCACTGTACTAGTGGATACAGCTATATTTGGTAATTAGCAAGTTTGGAAATGAAAGTTATCAGATATCATTGTTGTTTAACTTTGAAAAAGAAAACGAAGTGCAAAATATTTGAATTTTGTATTTTGAGGAGTAATAGTGTCCTTGAATTGTGTTTGATAATTGTAAATTTGAAGCCACTTTTCTTCAAATTACAAGCTTAAAGTATTTTATTTACCGTATTAAGATATCAGTGTTTATTGGAGTAGTGCTTTTTGCCTTTATTACAAGTCTAAGTTGTCAAATTTCAAATGTTTAACAAATATTTTTTGTAGTCCAACACTTGTATATTAAATTTTTTGTGTTCAGAATTTCATGGTTATTTATAAATCTTCTCATTTAATTAATTTAATTGAAAGTGATGCTATGATCTGTGTAATAAGTTAAACTTAATGATGAAATTATATGTTAAAGTAAAATACAATTTTATGATACAATGTGCTTCTCTGAGGTACAGAAACTTGTATGATTTTTATTTTTAACATGTACAAATAGCAGAATTTATTTAAAACTTCAAACACCATTAAGTAGTGTTTTAATGAATGTTTAATAGGATAGATTAATATTTTAATTTTTGTCAATTATTTTAAGCTCCTGCAATTTTTTCAGTAATGAACAAATACCGTAACTTGGTTTAAAGCTTACAATATCATGAAGCAGAATGAATTTCATATTTTAAATGTCAATGCTAATATGTTAATATGCAACTGTAAAGTACAGGATGGTCCAAATTTTTCATTCCTATCAAAAAATCTAATAAGTAAATAGCTAAGGAAATTCAACCATGAGATTTTCAACATGTTGTAGCCCAGCTCAAATAGTTTTTATTGTCAAATCTTTTTTTATCTTCAGTGAGTAGTGTTACCCCATAGAATGGCAATCATGCCAGAAAAGACTCCATGCATTGTTTGACTTGCAGAGACTAAGTCAGTAACTATGTTGCAGCGTAATTACATATGCCAGTACAGGAAATAAGTATGTTAAGGATATTGTATATTGCACACCTAAAGTAAACATCACAGAGCTAAAAACCAAGACAGTGGATGCCATTGGCACTGTAACTGTCAACATGTTGCAGAGTACGTGGACTGAAATTTAGTATTGATTAGATGTGCTGAGAGCCACTAATGGTGCACATGTAGAAGTCTATTCACATTTCAATAAAAAAATGTTTGAGTTGGCCTAGAAGATGTTGGAATTCCATGGTTGTATTACCTTAGTTACTTAACTGTTAAATTTTGAAATAGGAAAGATAATGTTGGATGACCCTATGTATTGTTCAATGGAAATCTTTAGAACTGCTATTGGCAGGAGGAACTAATTTTTGCAAATTAATGGGATTTGAACAAGATATTTACTGTGAAGTAATTCTGAGTTCTCTGTGTAACTGAATTTGTGAGAAGGAAATAGAGATTGGACTCAATTGTAAAAAAAACTACAACATAGTCTTTATTATTTGCAAACAGAAATAGTTTTCTTTTCAAATTGTCTTGGTTGAAATCTTATTCCAACTAACTAAACCTTACATTATCTATTTAAGTAGTAATGTCAGACATATCTAGGACAACCAGTGCTACCCATGTGACTGGTCATTCCCCATCTAATGTAAGGGAGGTTGTAATGTTGGGGCATTACTTAACCCACCATTGGAGGACTTTGAAAAATTCATAGAACTGTGTTATATGACTGTAAAGTACTGTATGATGGTAAATACATAGAACAGTGTTATTTGACTGTAAAGTACTTTTTGGTAATAAATCCATCCAGTCATATTATGTGACTGTAAAGTAAAATTTGTGAAATTTCTAGAACTATGTTATAAAGTACTGTTTGATAAACAATTTCTAAAACTATGTTATGTGACAGTCCTCTAAATCAGAACATCAAGTCAAAAGCAAAAAGGAAATGTCGCTGTAAGTGCATTAATCAGTAAACTGTAAGACATCTTATATTCTTGTTGTTTTTAACTATGTATTAGACTTTAACATATTAAACATTTTTTGATACCCATTAAGTATTTTAAACTAGAATCCAGTAGTAATTACAAATCTGGAGCTAATATGCAAGTCAAACTATGTATGTTATAATTTATTCAAATTTTTTTTGTTATGTTTAGAATTACACAAATGACTGAACAAAAATTTGTGTCTGTATTAGCTTGTTAAAGTTACTTAAAGTCTATCCATTCTGAAGAGATTCTTCGACTTAAAGATGCGCTTAATATTTAATACAAGTGGAGTACAAGGCAAGTAGCTTCACCAAAGTAAAAGCAAAAAACTTGCATTAGGATTTTGATATTCATTACGTATTTTTGGGGAAACTTTAAAATTATAGGCAACTTTCCAAAGTTAAAACTGAGATATAAACTTTGTCATGTCCTGCCCAAAGGATATTCAGAAAATAAAAATCTAAATGATGCTTGTCAAAAAAAAAGTCTTATTGTTTAATGCTAGTAAAATACAGTAAAAGACTCTTGACTACTTTATTTTCAAACATTAATATTCTTTATTCTGTAAATAGTGTAAAGTGAACTTGTCCTTTTTGTTTACTCTTTGTGAAAGAGTATCTAAAACATGTCAAACTACTGTAAACTTGAAGTAATAAAGTAATACTCCAAAATCAAACTACATACAGTTTGACAAAGAGGGTTTTGGCTCTGGTTTTGAATCACATTTGATTAAGACACATTTTTTTAAATCAAGTTAATAAATTGTAAATGATACTAAACAGATAATTATTCTAGTTCTCGTTGATCCATGCAAAACATTAAAATACCCCTGTGTTTCCTCTATACGCCAACATAGTGAAGTAACAGGACATCAACCTATACTATCAAATTTCTCTATCCTCTGCA